GGCTCAAGGTCGACTCAGCCTTCCATCCTTCCGAGGTGGGTGAAATGAGGACCCAGACTGTGGGGGCGATATGCTGACTCTGTAAAACGCTTAGAGAGGGCTGAAAGCCCTATGAAGCGGTATATAAGTCTAACTGCTATTGCTATTTCCTCCAACACCTATACCATTTCCCCCATATCTGATAATATTCTGTCTCTTCTTTTCCCTGAATTTCTTTTGTTAATTTGTCCATTTCATTTCATAAGCGAGCTTCACTGGTTAAATGGAGGCTGGTAGGGAATAAGCAGAAAGAAACGTAGGGGAAAATAACACTCAGGATCAGAGAAAGCTTTCAAAAATGGGATAAAGGTAAAGGTTCCCCTCACAAATATGTGCTAGTCGTTCCTGACTCTAGGGGGCGCTGCTCATCTCCTTTCAAAGCGGAAGAGCCAGCGCTGTCCGAAGACGCCTCCGTGGTCGTGTGGCCGGCATGACTCAACGTCAAAGGCGCACGGAACGCTGTTCCCTTCCCACCAAAGGTGGTCCCTATTTTTCTACTTGCATTTTTACGTGCTTTCGAACGGCTAGGTTGGCAGAAGCTGGGACAAGTAACAGGGAGCTCACTCCGTTACGCGGCGCTGGTGGTTCGAACCGCCAAACTGCCAACCTTTCTGAATGACAACCTCAGTGTCTTAACCACTGAGCAACTGCGACCCTATAAAAATGGGATAGGATATACCCAATTTGCAGTTTCATAATTGTGAAAGAATTTGGAACAAGGGAAGAATGAACAGGATGTGGAGGGAGAAAAGGTTACTCAATCGTGGGAATGTGGGAAGGGTGAGAAAGAAACTCGAGATAACTCTACCTAGATTTTGTTTACCACCAGAGAATCTTGGGCAGGTTTTTTTTTTAACTGTTACTCTACTTATGACAATAAAGAGGATTTCTGGAACCCTTGCTGTGCCTTCTCCTTAATCTGCCTGTCTCAAATGCCCGAATGATTGACCCACAGGCCTGTGTCTCCCCTTCTATTTCCCCCCCCGAAATCAAAAAGTAAAATAAAACATATCATAGCCATTATTATTTTTAACGGTCATGAAACGGAGTGGATCTCCAAAGGAATGGTCGAGGAATCCAAAGGTTTTCCCCAGTTTTCTAGGATCCGCTTACCGCCTCTCTTTCTTGTCGGTGGGCTTGTTGATTTCCCGGAAGATGTTGGACAAAACGCCGTCCGTCCAGTCCCGTGTAGTGGGGTCGAGGATGCCGTACAATTCGATGACGCTCATGGCTTTGGGGTTCAGGATGTAGAGCTTGGTCAGCAGGCCTAATCTGATGAGGTATCGAGGACAGGAAGCAGAATTTGTGCCCGTGGCATTCTAGCGGGGAAACCCCCCCCCCCCCCAAAAAGGACTCCGATACGAAATCCTGCCCTGTCTCGGATGTGCCAACTCAGCTCATGCTAAAAAAAAGAGTGCCCCATTTCCCACACTGGCTAACAAATTTCACGGGCATGAAAAGCAAGAAATAAGGCAGCTGATATTCAGGGGTGTGTTATTTCCGAACTTCTGGATGATCGTTAATTCAGAGAGAGATTTTTTTCCATGAATTTGTAGGTACGGCCCAATTCACTATGACCTCCACTCACAACGGCTCCGTTAAAACGATGGAGCGGAGGTTTGGGGGTGGGGGTGGGGGGAAGTAATCACATCCCTGATTGGCAGGCTTGTTTCTCACAACCAATCTTGCCCAACTCAAACGGGCTACTCGCAACCGTAAAACATATACTCTGGGAACTGTCAGGAAGGAGCTGTCTTCACCCGCTCTCTCTCTCTCTCTCTCTCTCTCTCTCTCCCACAAACTATACTGAGTCGCCTCTTACTTTCGGCCCCTCCCACCTGGGAATCCAGGCCACGTTCCACCCCACTGATTGATCTGTGCTTACTTTGTCTGAGCATGGCACAAGGCGTTGATGACCACCGACTTGCCACCTCCGGTTGGCCCTACCACCATTGTGGTGTGTCGCGTTAGCATCGTTTCGTACATTTGGACCACTTTATCCACCTGAGGGGGGGTGGAAAATACCTCAGTGGCAGCCATCTTGACTGGAATTATACACCCCTGTTCATGGAACTGACATTCGTTGTCCGTTTAAATCAAGGGTCTTCAACCTTGCAACGGTAAGACTTCTGGACTTCAACTCCCAGGATTCCTCCGCCTGAGGCATTCTGGGAGTTGAAGTCCACAAGTCTTTCGGTTGCCAAGGTTGGAAAACCATCCTCTGAAATGACCACCTTCCCGGTTTCAGAGAACTGCATTATGGCTTGATGAGGCTTTTCAGATAAAGCTTCATATGAAAGCCAAAGGATCTGTCTACATCTCTTTGATCTTAGTGACTTTCACTTAATACCTGGACAGGTAGAACCACGTAACCTTCTTCAGCCAGCACGTATTCCACTGCGTCGTTGAATTTGGGATAGCGGACTCGAGGACAGTCCAATCCGGGGAAGAGATCGGCGATCAAGCCAAGGAAAAGAGGAACGTCTTCAAAGACAAATTTGGGGAGGTTCATATCTCGCAGGGCTCTCATGAGGACCACGTCCTAGAAGGGGGGGGGGGGGTTGAACCCCAAAGAAACATTAAAAACATTGGTGAGAGCGGAGTGAAGAGGCTTTCCCTGTTCAAAGGAACCATCCAGGGCTTCAGGCCTGCCGCATTTTCTACTGTGGGAAAACGGGAGGGGAGATTATACAGAATGTGGGTGATATGTAGCCATAACAACATTCTTTCTTAGAAAGTCAAGGTCATCTCGCCCTGCAGCTGCGATGAAGCGACTGGGAGGCATCTCCCGTTTTGGATGGGGTGAAATCCAGCAGGTCTTGACAGGTTCTGGAGAACCGGTAGCGGAAATTTCGAGTAGTTCGGAGAACCGGCAAAGGCCACCTCTGGCTGGCACCAGTGGGGTGTGAATGGAGATGTTGCGGTATCCTTTCCCTGATTGTTCTACCCATCGAAGACTGGAAATAAGTTTACCTCCGGGAGATCTGAAGATCCTCTTTTCAGTTCTCCGGCCATGACTAGGACAGACTTCAGAGCCCGAAGCCCAAAATCGTAGTGATGTTGTTTAGACAGCTGTTCCCTTGCCAACTTGTACAGCACAGTCATCTTCTTGGCTAGCACCTATTGGACATTTATCTAAATTTAATATTTTATCTCCTGTATTGTATTGGCCACATCTCTCTCTCTCTCTCTCTCTCTTTCTGTGTCTTTCTCTCTCTCTCTCTCTCTCTCTCTCTCACACACACACACACACACACACACACACACACACACACACACTTTATTTAAGCTAAATTTGTGCATCAGTGGATTGCATGACCTCTGTAAATGCTACCGTGTTTTCCCGAAAATAAGACATGGTCTTATTTTTGGGGAGGTCTTATTATTTTTGAGGTGGAGGAGGAGGCAGCGAGCGTGCTCACCTCATGGCTGCTGCTGTGTTGCAATATTTTTTGGGGGGGGCTTATTTTAGCGCATGTGCTCAGAAGCCCCCCTGATTGGGCTTATTATCCGGGGAATGTCTTATTTTCGGGAAAACACGGTAGCATTTACAGAGGTCATGCAATCCACTGATGCACAAATTTAGCTTAAATAAAGTGTGTGTGTGTGTGTGTGTGTGTGTGTGTGTGT